GTGAATTGAAACTCTTTGTTGATTACAGAAGCAAAGTGTCTTTTAACTGGGGAAGATTTCAACAAAAGATGTGTTGAGCAACATGACAGAAGTGATAGATGAAGGTATTTTGCAGTGTTTTTTTCACATGGGTTTTGACCTGCGTGTAAACTCTGCTACATTTGTACCAGTGACGTAAACACAGGATGACAGGTGAGGCGGTGCTCACCTGTCGTCCTGACAAGTTAGAATACTAACAATGAGACATTCTGTCCACTTGATGGGTACATAAATTTATTTCCTGTATAATTTTAAAATGTTTGTGGCCACAATCTCTGAAATTCACCTGGATTACTGATACAGGAAGTTAGCACATGCTCCCTGCTGGCTCTCTTTACGTCGCTAAGTTTGATTACCTGCTAACGTTCCAGTCTGCCTAATTTATCCAGTGAATGTGTGTGACATATGTAGTGTTTCTGATGGGACATAAAAGTGCAGTGAAAGTGCAGAGGGTGATAAAAAGTACCATGCGACACTGACAGGGGGCAGTGCTGAGCTTCATAGACACAATGGAAACAGTAGCTGAAGACATAAAGTCGGATTAGGACGGATCCAGAACAACCTTTCCTTACAGCACACCCTTTGTAAAGTTACACAGACAAAAATAAACAGCAATAATTTGTTATTTAGCTGCGACAAGAGAAAAAAAAATCAGGGTTTATTTTCCAGTCATATTTCCAACATATTTTTTATTCTCCTATAAATGTCACAGTTTCAAACTAAATGTTTAGCATCAAACTATATTGCTCACTAACTTAATATTTGGCTTGGTGTTAAATATTTAGTTCTAAGCTAAATATTTAGCACCAGATTAAATATTTAATTAGCAAACTAAATATTTTGTTAGAAGCTAAATCTGAAGCACCAAGCTAAATATTTAGTTAGTGGGCTAAATACTTAGTTTGCAAGTAAACTAGCTTACAGATAAATAATTAACATGAAGCTAAATATTTAGTTAATATGCAAATTCATTTGCCAATAGCTAGAAGTGGTAAATATGGGGATTAGACTATGGGTTATTTAACCTTATTGCAGGTTAAATAACCCAAATTACTGCTTCTAATTTTTGATTCCCAGACCTATTTGGTGATTATCATTAAAAAAAATCTAATTTGATTTGTATGAAACTGTTATGCTTTCTATAACAGTATAGAAAGCATAATTAAAAGCATTTTAAACAACTCAATGTGTCAAGTAAGGTCAAAATTATAAACCTCTACTTTGGGTTTTATATTTTTGTTCATCTCTCTGAACCGATTTGACTTGTCTCTGATTTTACTGAAGTCACATTTCTTTTTTTCTCTACATTTTAGATTCTAAACAAGTTTATTTCAGTTTCATAATCATGATTTTTCCCTCCATAATCTTCTGAAAACGTGCTAGATTTATCGTACGCAGGTTTCCACTTGCTGTAATGCACACCAGTCTTAATAGCGTGTGTGTAAACAGAGGATGATATATGTTTAGTCAGCCTTGTGCAGTTTGACAGCTTTCAAGGCTTTAAGCCATTACTCAGGTGTGGACAGACATGTTTCTGACAAACTGGATCAGATTCTTCAGCCTTCATCTTTTCACTCGAGACTCAACACTCACTTTAGCAGAACAATGCGTAAGAAAAGTGTTTATATGTTGAATTTGAGCCTGTGGTATTTCACCTGGCGCTGCAGAGGAAAGCTCACTGGCAGCGAGTGGCAGCCGCCCTTCACTGCAATTAATATGTGACTCCTCTGCTAACAAAGCGCTTGTCAAAAAGTCCTGCCTCCCAACTCTGAGGCCTTTCTCAACACAAATCCCACCCCCTCTGCACCATTACCCACTGAAAAGGCATTTCTCCTTTCTGTTTCAGAGCTGTAACTTTCTAGCCCTGGACAGGAATCTTGTGACGACTTGTTCACCATCAGATTGGCGTGACATTTTTGTCAGGCTCGTGTTTTGTTTCGGCACTAAGCTTTCACAGAATTGTGTGAAGAGTCTGTGGTTGTTTCTTCGCTCAAACTGCGTCTCCTCCGTCTGCAGCCTTTCCATGAACAGGGTAACTCTGGACGCTCGCTGCCTCATCGAAAGGCCCGGTCCACACGCAGCCGGGTTTAAAACGATGACAAACGAGATATTTGTTTCTGTAAAATCAATCAATCAAGTTATTTGAATAACACATTTCAGCAGCAAGGCAGTTCAAGGTGCTTTACATAATAAAAACACAAAATTAAAAAGTTATAAAGAAAACACCATGCAGTCAACAATTGAACAGACATTATATTTGGAGGAGTGCTGTTACTAAAATCATCAATACACATCAAATAAGTTGGTCAGTGTTTCATTTTTTATGGTTCAAAAGCAGCTCAAAACAAGGAGTTTTAGTCTAGATTTAAAGGAGCTCAGTGTTTCAGCTGTTTTGCAGTTTTCTGGAAGTTTGTTCCAGATGTGTGGTGCACAAAAGCTGAATGCTGCTTCTCTATGTTTGGTTCTGGTTCTGGATGCAGAGCAGAACCAGAACCAGGAGACCTGAAAGGCCTGGATGGTTGCTACGACAACAGCAGATCTTTAAGCCGGTCAGTGATTTATAAACTGTCAGCAGTGATTTAAAGTCTCTTCTCTCAGTGGAGAGACTTTAGGACTGGGAGATGTGCTCTACAGCTTCATCCACACCTGATTGGTTGATGAAAGGTTTTCATCCACACAAACCCACTGAACTACACCACCGAGCGTTGTTTTAACCATCCTACACCAATAGGGGGCAGTGTAGAGCAAACATAAAACCTGTATCTGCCAATCACAATCCTTCACAACAACCACTAAACAGGCAGAGGCTGAACTACGTTTAAATATAATATAAAGTTAATAAAGTTAACAATCGACTGATGAAGCCAGATGACTGAACAGCATTTAGCCTCCATATTGGAGTGGATAGTTGGTGGAGAACAGCCGACCTCCAATCACTCTTTATCCTTTGCAGCTCAACATATTGAAGCATTTGGGCTTATAGCAAAATAAGTGAAATGCGTCTGAACAAACGTAAAAATCAGCAGCTTTCTGATGGCAGCCATCTTTCCTCAGGACTGCAGACTGTCATGTGTTTACCACTAAATCTCTGGCTTCTGAACGCAAAGGACAATTCAGATCTTCACTTTGGCCGGAGGTCTTATTATCAATCATTTTTAGTGATATTAAACAGAGATTACGTGTGGATGAAAGGACAAATCGCATAAAAATCTGTTTGGTTAATCAGCTACGGACAAGGCCCAAAGTCTGCAGACAGACATGTTGGGTTAGCCCAGTAAAAATCTGGTCATGAACGTTTTTCACTAAGCATTTTTGCTAAAAAGCAAACTTTTGGAAAAGATTTCCAGAGATTCCCCACAAAATAAACCAAATAAAGCATAAGCAGCATAAATGTTTCTGTTACATCCCCTGGTTTTTCCATGTTTGACGTCTAAACAGACCTCTAGTCTTACATTTAGACTAAGTTCAATCAAAGCCCTAAACTCAAAACCAAAGGATGAGAGGCAGGAGCAGGCATGCGTTTTTAGAAAAACTTAAAATTAAAACTCTTCAAGCCTTCAGAGGGGAGATGCATCTTCCATCTTATGTGAAAAAAAAAGTGAATTCAAAGCCTGCGTTGCTCCACCATTCATCTCCTGACACGTCTCCACTCAAATCTGTTTCTTTTCTGAAAAGACATGAGCCGAACGCCATCTTTGTGAGGCCTGCCGACATTAGTCACTTTGATTCTATTTTTATTTTGACTCAAATAACACAAGCTTACAGGAAGGAACATCCCTTTAAAGTCCACCCGAAAACCCAAACATGCCTGAAATTGTCAGAGTGATGTGTTTTCCAGAGGTTTTAAGTGTACAGCTGGGATAAGTTTGTTCAGGCAAATTGCTGTATGAGCCCATCAGTGAAATGTAGACGGGCCTGGCCTGCTGCCAGGAGCGCAGGAGGCCCAGCGCAGTCATCAGGAGGAATCTGATGTGCAGTCAAAGGAGCAAAGAGGGAACAATGATCTAACCAGAGGAAAGACTTTGATGAAAGAAAGTCAAATGTGTTAACACTGACAATAAAACTGAGCAACAAAAAGACAAACACTTGAAATTCAGTATTTTTGGGACGTTTCGGACAAACGTCGCAAAGTTTTCACAGAAACTTAGAGGTTTCTTTCTGTTGAAAGCCTGAGTGGCAGTTCAGAGGATGCCGCAGTCGTTAGGGTGCTGCAGTTCAGAGGATGCTGCAGTCGTTAGGGTGCTGCAGTTGTTAGCGTGCTGCAGTTCTTAGCGCTGCAGTAAGATCCTGGACTCAGTCAGGACATTCCTGCCTGGAACAGGTGGGTTCCCTCCAGGTACTCTGGCTTCCTCCCACAGCCCTAAACTCAGGCATGTCACAGTTAAACCCAAAACTATTTACACCCTGCAAGGCCTGTCACAATGTTGCTGCAATAGACGATCATATTGTTGTTTTGAGACCATTTTCAAGTAATAGAATGCTGATGATCGCATAGTAATAATGCAAGAACACATTCTGCAACTTTAAATTCTCACTGGAACTCAAAGACATTTTAATTGTCCAAAATAAATAAATAGAACGAGAGAAAAAACAAATAAAATGAATTATAAAGTTTCTGTAAACAAAATGATCCTTCAAGAAGAGGGCAAGTTGAAACCAAAGCACCAGACTGAAGACTTTTGTCTTCATGCTAATCTTAGCTCCCTCCTTTTGTCTGCTAGTCAGAAGTGAGATTAAAGCTGTCTTCACACCTGATAGTCCGCAAGACTCGGTTCGATTGAGGCCATACATTTGTTTCATTTTCAGCTGCTGCGGGTCGTTTTCTCACTGCACCGTGTCAAACAAGCCAAACCCTGTTCCCCTGCTCGCCTGAGGGGGCGCTGCACCAAGAGTCACTGCAGGAAACAACTTCTGAAGAAGACACTGAACGCAACATTCTTCTTCACAAACTCTAAACAAAATGGAGTAGCGTCAGGCTAGAGCGGTTGTAGGATTTCTCTTTTGTTTTTTAATAAAAGAAGACGAGCCATTTTTCCCGCTCGTGCTAGAGTCGCGTTTGTTTTGGTTGTGTTTACCCAGAATGCCCTGCGCTGTAGTTCACTTCCTGCTTTTGGTGCGGCCTCCGGTCACATTTGAACTGTACTTAAACCGAACCGAGCCGTCGGTTTTTAGGTGGACCAGAGTTCGGCTTTTTGCTCTGCATCAGTGTGATTTGGAGTTCATGTGATCCCCGAGACTGGAAATAAGAAAGACGGTGGATGTTAGCTTCTGCAGCGCCGCCAAGATGGCTTCCGCTGTGCTAATTAAAGCATGAAAAGGTATGTTTGGTGTTTGAGCTATTCAAAGAGTTATGAGCGTTTTTAGAGGAGGATTTCTAAAAACAGTCGTAGGCGGTTGTGGTCCAAACCCCTGATGTTCCGGGGCTCCACTCCAGTTACATTATTAAACTAGAAAAACGTCTGGATGCCTGGATAAAAATAAGGATTTATGAGATTAGCACACTGTGTCCTCAATTCTTAGGCAAGTCTTATTTTTTGAGGATTATTTTTATTAATCATTTAAATCAAGACTGAAAAGCCACCTGTTTACATATGAACCGTAATTAATGGAACATATTTTGTGTGTTGATGTTTTTGATGATGCGTCCCACAAACTGTAATGTTTGGTCTCAAACTGGTGACTGCATGTTGCTTTTGTGACTTTTTGTTTTTGTTTCTATGCTGTAAAGCACTTTAAACTGCCTTGTTGCTTGAAATGTGCTATATAATTAAATTTGATTGATTGATTATCTCCACCTCCAGGGCTCTTTGCTAATCCAAAACATTATGGAACATAACAGAACTGGAAGATAATGGATTCCTGCTTGATTCTTCTTTTGGCAGCTAAAACTTATTATTTTTTCCTCAGTACTTCAGTAAACTTTTTACCAAATACTTTTTTTTTTTTACTTCTACTTGAGTAATTTCTTGGTGGCTTCTTTTTATTTTTAATTGAGTTGAAATATGTTGAAGAAAAGCTATTCTTACTTGAGTGTAATTTTGGGTTCTCTGCTTCCTCTGATCAGCTGCTGTGATTAAATTAATTAAATATTCAAGTTTATCCAGCTTGGAGTTTAAAAATGATGATGATGTGGTCAGAAATACGGTCTTGCTCTGTGCAAAGAGTTCTGCATTCACATAAGTAACAGTGCAATAATTTTGACATATTTTATAATAGCACAGATCCTTTATTTGATCCGTTTATTTCAGACAGACCTGCAGAGTTCGGTCTGTGCCTCGACAGGTCAGAGCTGCTTTGTTGGCAGATCAGATGGGATTTCCATGCCATTCAACAGGAAGTGACTGCTAAATGTGGGAATTTCTTGGCATCGTCAGGACAGTGAAGAACATTTAATCACAGGAAAGAAAACAGATCAGCTTCTGTAACTTCAGTGGGGCATGACTGGCTTGTTTGGTCTATTTTTTCCCATATATTTCCAAAGTGAAAGCAGAAGTCAGCACTTAGAAATGAGTGTGATGATACTGCTGGTTATTAGCTGTCGACCTCCGTCCCGTCTTGTAACTCTGTACTTCTTTTGCTCTGTTCCTGCTAGACCAAACTTTCCTTATTGCGTTTCACAGGAATTAAATTGCCAAGTGAAAAGCTCATGGAGCGTTTTCTTTTTGAAAGCTGTACAGTTGATACTTAGAAATCGCAGGAATACATTTTCAATGCTTTATTTGACCAAAAAAATATTGTTTGGAGATCATGAACATGTCCATGTTTGTTATATTTTTTGCATAACATCATTCTTGGAGAATGAGATTTCAATCTGGAGCTCCTTTCAGAAGTTTGTCACTTTAAATCCAAATGAGCTGCAAATAATCACAACTTTTCCACTCGCATGTAAAAATGGCTGAAAGCAGATGCTTTGAAAAGTAGAAGTGGAGCCTCCTGCACAGCCAACAAGAATGGAGCAAATAGTTTCTGAATAGTAAGTCAACAACACAATCCTGTCTTTTCCAGCAGCCATTGTACAACTTATGCAGAGGTATGATGCATTTGTATCCTAAAGAAAAAGATTTGTATAAGATGCATCTCTAATGAGATATTAACATATATAAAAAAAAACACACAAAAACTTTATATTGTAGCCAAATGAACGGACCAGAACGTTATTGGGAAGGAATCCCACGTTGCCCCAGTGCAGTTTTTCTCACACCTGTGGTCCATGGGCGCCTCCTAGTGGTTTACAAGGTGCTACATGCAAACGACTGTTTATTTGCCATGAGGTGAGCTCAAAGTGTGACGCATGAAGCTGTTTTACCAAAGGATTGTGGTTAAAACTAATGATGGATAAAACCGAGTATTACTGTTTCGTTCACAAGTGATTTGATTCTTTTGAACAAGTCTCAGCTGGTGAGAACTGTTCTTTGTTTTTTATGACTGCTTGCATGTCAACAGTTATTTTTTTATTTAATAAAAAATAATTTAATCAGCAAATGAATAAAACTGATAGGAATAGGTTTGACAAACAGAAGATGATTTTCTTGTTTCTGATAAAGCAACTCAGATCTACACTGCAAAATCTCCAAATCTTGCCAAGTATTTTTAGTCTCATTTCTAGTACAAATATTATACTACACTTGAAATCAGACCAAACTAACTTATAAGTAACTTTTCAGTAAGATATAAAAGCTCATTTTAAGTCAATATTTCCTTAATATTTGTGAAAAAGTACCAGTTCCATTTTCAGATGAATTTGCTTATAACAAGACATTTTATCCATAAGTCAAATATGGTCCAAGTACTTTTTCATCAACATTAAGGAATCATTTACTTAAGACAATCTCCTGTTACTTTTTAGTTTTGTCTTCATTCAAATGTGCTCAGATATCTTCACTAGAAACAAATCCTTGGTAAGATTTTATGTTTTTTCAGTGTATTCTTCTCTTATTGTGTTTCTAAATTACAACACTTGGTAGTGAAGAACAATTTTTTAATTTAATTTTTGACATCATTATAAAGCAAATCCACACTTTCATAAACTGTAAATAACGTAAAACGCGCCGAGTTGTTCATTATTTTATCACATTTACCAAACATCTCCACTGTTCTCATTAAGTCAAGCAACTGAGTTAAGAGATTAATATTTCCACTCCAGGTTGTGGCAGAAACTTGCTGCCACCTTCGTTTTTACCTCTGGGTGTTACCTTTAAAATCTTCCCAGCTAACATGACTTAAGAGGGAACAGGTGGACCGCAAGAACACAGCAAAAGCATAACAAGGCCCCTGTGGTTTTCCTAAGTGTGCCCTCATTTACAATACAGACCAGCATGTATCAGGGTTATAATCATTAACCAGCAGTTCAGCAGGAGTTCACTGTGCGCTGTGAGCCTGTGGAAGCCTGTTCTGGTCGGGATATTTTGCTTTGTCCCCTGAAACCACACGAGAGACTGACCAAATGTTATGGTTTCGCTGTTTCACAGAGCTCAATGGGAACTATTTCCTTTCACTGGAGTGAGAAATCAAACGAGATAGAGTTGCAAAATGATGGCTTATACCTCTGCAGTTCGTCTTGCAGCTAAAGCCGGGTGCTGAAAATTTCCCTTCAGTGGCAGAGATTTAACGTGACGCATTAATGTGTTAATCCAAACAACGCAAAAAACGAGAGTGGGAATCCAGCCTGACTGGGCGCCGTTCGCTCGCTTTGCCCCAAAATAACGATTAAGGCTTCTATCAAATGTCACCTTAAGCAGCGCCGGGGCGTCACGCTGTCTTCCAACCGCCTCAGAGCGACGGAGAAACCCGATCACGCTCCGCTGGGGGAGGGACCGGCCAAATGTACAAACCTGTTCAAACAACAGGTCTCTAACGCCCAGTGACAAAAAGGCAAAGCGTTCCCGTCTCAATCAATCAATCAAGGTTATTTATGTAGCAACAGGGCAGTTCAACATGCTCTACATCATAAAAATATGAAAACAGTTATGAAACCAGCAACACATTACAATTTGATGAGTGACATCATCAGAATCATACACATCACATGTGTTGGTCAATGTTTCAGTTATTATGCGGCTCTATGCAGGTGAGGTTTAGTCTAGATTTAAAGACACTCAGTGTTTCAGCTGTTTTGCTGTTTTCTGGAAGTTTGTTCCAGATTTGTGGTGTTTCTCTAGATCTTTAGTCCTCTAATCCTGGAAAAGTTCTTCAGGTGACAGAAGGCCGACTTTGTAACTGTTGTATGTGGCTCTGAAGGTTCAAACCCAGATTTCATCCTGAACTCCAGTTTCCAGGTGTGATATCTGAAGCTAGATCTTGTTCCTCTTCAAGTCCAAAGATAAAATCTTCAGTGTTGTTTCTGTTCATTGTTATGGGATTGAAAAAATAGCCATAATTTGATAATCCTAGCTGATCGTATAATGTTTGTAGACCTCAAATCTTTAGACTTTTAACAGGAGTTAAAAGGTTTTATACAATCACTGTTCTCTAAATGCATTAGCTAACGCAAAAACATTTTTATACAATCTTTCAAACTGATATCACTTTTTTTGTTTGAAAATTGCAAAAGATGAGAAAAGTGACTTTTACATTTGGTCAGTGTTAAAAAACTCCCAAACAAAGAAGACGGAAACCTTCTTTGAGAGCTCAAAGATCCCCCTGCTGGTGCAACAATCACCGTCTGTATGATTGGCTAATCCTGAAATATGCGCCTGTGACTAATGGTGCAATTTAGCAAGAAATCAGCTCCAGTTTCAGCCGACTTTATTGACACCCTGGCATGATGCAGATGCCTTCGGCTGTAATGAATAAGCGCAGGGATACTACTGGGTTCGCCTCTCCTCCTCCTACCCGTCTTTCAGCGCCGCTTTTGTGCAGGTGATAATGAAAAGTGCCAGAGAAGCATGTAACTGGCCCTTCTCACCTGCTTGGCACTAAGGCAAGCTGTCATGTCAACAATGATGCTAAATGGGAACACTTGAGCTGCTTCACGTCTTGTTGTTTTTCAGGGCGAGGTGCCTGGGAGAACTCTGTTTTCTTTGCGCGTCCTCCGTCTTTGATAAACGGGAATATTGTATCTTATTTTTGAGCGAGTGCCAACCTGCTGACATTTTGCTACAGAGGGAATTAGCGCAAAGCAGCAAGAGCAGGGTTTGGTGTGCTTTACTGCACAAACACAACATCAGTCATCCTGTGAATGTGGATCTGTGAGCCATCGCCACGGTGACGGCAATCTGAAGGGTTGTTGTTTAAAGAGCGGGCAGGATAACTGGTGCAAAGTGTTCGGTAAAGAAACCCCACAGTTTCAACATTCACAGGAAATGAGTCGCTTTACTTT